TTGACCAGCAGCTAATGTTTTTCCTAGCTAAGGTTCCAGGATATTTATTACCAATATTTGGCTGCTGCACAGTAACTATTATTTTTTGCCCAGTTTTCAATATTCCCATTGTGGCCTTCACTATACTCTCATTTTACTCCGGGAGTAAATTTTTGAAAACATGCCGAAGCATCTCACAACTTGAAGAAGAGACCAAATCATGGTTGGGTTCACACTTATCCAAAACTCTCTCTGGACTAGAAACTATCAGAACATTAGATCTCTTCAATTCCTTTCACGCCACTTTCCTCAACTATCAGAATAGCCTGGCATCGACACTATTAGTCAGCATGACAGCCAAGAGCTGGCTTTCCATGCATATACACACACTTAGCTTGATTTACTTAGGGATTTTTACAGCATATGCATACAGTAATCATAGTCAGTTCACTGCTGTTGAAATTGTCATCATTTTGGTCACATTTTGGTCTACTGTGGGTTCTTACACAGAATTTCTGTACACTGTGGCAACACTTGAAAGGGAACACTCTAGTGTAGATAAGTGTCTTGAGTTCGCTGGCACGAATGTCAGAGAAAATATCATAGCAGTTCATACAGAGAAGAAACTTGGTAGTCAGTTATTGTTCACAGACATCAATTTCGAGAGAGGTGGAAGCAAACTGTTATCGAATGTTAATTTCTGCATTAGTGAAGGTGAGAAAATAGGTATACTTGGTTTGTCAGACAAGAGTAAAGATGCCCTCGTCGATATTTTAATGAAAATCACAAATCCAACAAAAGGTACTGTCTCTATCGATGGAGTGGATATGTCCAAATTGCACAGTCAGAGCGTCCGCAGAGCAATCACCCACATCCCAACAAAGACGGCGCTCTTCTCGACCACATTGCGAAACAATTTAGATCCTTCACACAATTATTCAAACACTGAAATCTGGAAGGTGCTTAATCAGGTTGGCTTGAAATCAAGAATAGAGTCAACACCAAACCAACTGAATTGTGATGTGTACAGAGATCTAAAGTTGCAGGCAGGAGAACTTAGCTTAGTGAGTTTCATTAGGGGAATTCTTAAGAAAAGTCCAATTGTCATAATAGAGGACCTGCCACTGCTTGGTGAAGACTCTGCTCGAGAGAGACAGTTACTGCTTCAGATGATCAACAAGAAGTTTTGTACTGCGACCAAACTGATTTTAACCAACAAGCCAAACGCCGACCTGTTAATTGACTGCCAGAGAATTTTACAGGTTAGAGATGGTACATTCCATGAACTTGGCAAGTAACTAGAATCTGTCTCTCAATAGTTTGATACAATAGACTGGTTTGTGGTTCACGGGATGCAACACCTGGTTGTTGTGTATGTTGTAAATTATATTTTGTTCAACTTTGTTACGTGTAAACTTCAAAGGTATTATGGATGCTGACAATAAAGTTAAAATGGAACAAAAGTGAAACTGATAGCCAGCACATTTCTGCAGAGTGGTGGTAAATCAAAATCAATACCCCCCCCCCCCTTATCACTGGTAGCTAAGCAATCAGCGAGCCCAAAACTTATCTACTCATTATTCATATCAATCTCACATTTTCTAACTTTTTTATATAAGCTGCGTGTGCTATTTTATATCATGATTTGTTCTATTAGAAGTAAATATGCTTACTAAAAAGCTTGGTAAAAAAACAAATCAATACAAGCTCTGGCTTCTTAATAATTTTACCAAGTCCAGGACACAGGATTTGAATGTCTGTCCTTGTAATATACAAGTATCTTTAGTCTATGCCTTGCAACACAAACACATGGAACACCTATGTACCACAAAGCTATGAAATTTCCATTCATTCCATACACAGAAATTAAAGTTTATTCATAAACATTTTAATTCTTGGTTCTACATCAGTGAAAATACAATATGTATTAAATTATGTATTGTTATGCATCTGTTGCAGTAAAACTTGAGTTGATATTGTGTTGTAGTAAGATATTGTTAAATAATGTAAATTGTGTGTCAACCATGTTTATCAGTGTTTTAAAGATGCAAATGAGGTTTTCATCTCAGTACTAAAGGCAATAGTGTCCATTAAATTGAAAATTCAGACTCTGGAAAGCATACATCACAAAATGTTCCTCTGATGACATCAAACATGTTGACATTGTCTGGATTTTCTTCTGCAAAGTTCTCCCAAGAGCATTGTAAAGTAGCTCCCCTCCCCAACTCGATAATTTTGGATAAACAATAGAAGCTTAGTTACGATCTGTAATTGATTTAGGTGATTAACGTTTCCTACTTAGTCCCATTAGCCGATACCT